TATATATATATATATATTATAAGCTAATATACATCATAATAGTTCTAAATAAATATGTAATGATATAATAAAGGTTGATTTTTAACATCAGATTTATCAACATACATTATTAAACCAGATAAGCGTGGTTTACTTCTAGATCGTTAAATTTGAAGGTTTAGTCATCCTCACAAATTATTTGAAATGATATATTGAGATTGTCAAAATTTATTGAAAGGCTCAGACAAATTTTAATATCTCAATAATTGATATTTTCGTGCAATATTACTAATAAAATAATAATTCAAATTACACACAACATTCACACGACACGAATATAATGTTGATGTTGTAAACTTTTTTTTTTTCAAAACCAAAAGTAGTAAAATTAGAAGAAAAAACATCAAACTAAATAATGTAATAGAAAATAATTTGTTTTAAGTAATCTGGCAACAAAAAAGGTGAGGGTGAAAACATGAGTCTTAATTCGTTCTATACAAATAATCAAAAGTGGCAAAATATATACTTCGAGTTTTCTCTGGTAAGTGACCCAATCTAGTTGGAACTCAACACTAATAATAGCACTGCTGAATATTTCAAGTGATGCACCAAATCTAAGGTAGAGCGTATGATGACTAAGATTAAGATTTCAACATAAAGAAATTAATCTTTGATTTTGATATGAAATTAATAGAATTGGTTCTGCGCTTTATAATAACCATAATATAATCTTTATATTAGTCACAAAACTTAGCCTTTCTTAATCAGAAACAAGCAACCAAGATAACATATAATATAACAATCACATCGTTAATAAACTAATAAATAAAACAAACTTGATTAAAAAATATAAAAATTATAATAACTTAATATACATTTGGCCGAACGGTTAGCATCCAAGACCGATCGGTCTATCTACTGCAGCAGCGTTCATCGATAACAATGCTCGTCAGTACGGTCACAAACTGCAACAGCGCTCGTCAACCAGACAACGCTCGTCGGCCAGGTCAAACCGCGACAACGCTTGTCAATTATGTAGATACCGAACGGTCATACACTCAGCACCGTTCGGTCACCACTAACATTCAAAGATATCTGATTAAAAGATATTCATAAAGTTGTTTATGAGAAACCGCTCGAATTTTAAGGGAAATCTGTTTCCAGCCACCCGGATTTTAAGGTAAGTCTGTTTGGCTTGTGACAACTTATAAATACAAGGTCAGGGACATCAACCAGGTAGGCTCAATTCGCACTCCAAAACATTCCATTTACATTCTACTCATGCTCTACTGAGTTCATAATACTCAATTACCATAATATCCATTTGTGAGCAACATCTCCTTCAATAGACACCTAACTTGAGCGTCAGAGTGCCTTTTGCAGGTACCTTCCCCCTTGGCTCGGACTTGAAGAACTTGGAGCAGGAGATTCAGAGGTCAAGAGAAGGAAAGCCACATTAGAAAGGTAAGTGTCTCGGTGACCACGAGGAGCATGGATGAACAGCAGAATACCAAAGATTTAATAGCATAAATGCAAGCATAGATACAAGCCCAAGCAAGAACCATACAGGTACAGGCGCAAGCACAACAAGAGTTGCAGCGAAAGCGTGTAGAGGAGATTGCGGTGCTTAGAGCGGAACGAGCCCGTACCGAGCGCACTGCCTCAAACCAGGAGAATGAAAAAGAGAGAAGTCATAATTGGTAGCCATCCCAACACATTAACCCAATGGTCGAGGAAGGAGAGAACCATCGCCCCTCCAAACCGTTCGGCCTAACAGTTTACTCACTTTTACGGCAAAAATCATACAAACTCCAATGCCGGAGAAGAATCCTCCTACATTAGAGAAGTATGATGCTCGACAGATCGCGACAATCATCTCAGGATCTTCACCAACGCAATGGCGTTCTACACGGACAGTGATCCGGTCATATGCAGATTCTTTTCGTTATCACTCAAGGACGAGGTATTGGAGTGGTATAACACTCTTCCCCCAAACATAGTGGATTGCTTCGCCACCATAGAAACCCTATTCAGAAGGCAATACGCCTCCAATAAAAAACAAGAGATAACCCCGGCGAAATTGGTAAACACTAAATAGGAGAAAGGGGAAACTTTAAAGGCCTTCATGAAAAGGTACAACGAAACCGCACGGCGGGTTAAAGAGAACTCCAAGAAAGAGTAACTGAGTTCATCCGTATTGAGGACATGTGAATCTCACAAAGAAAGAAACAAGAAATCTCTACAAGTGGAAGCAAGAAAGAAGGCACGCAGTCATTCAACAGTAGTGACATGAATGGAGGTACATTTCACAAGGATTTCGTCCGAACACCCAGGTATAATCATTACACTCCCCTCAACACACCCAGGGTAAAAGTTCTTGAGGAAGCTCTAAATACTGAGCTTCTTACAATTCGGAAAAGGTCTTCACCAAAAGACGTTGACGAAAGGAAAAGTTGTCGATTTCATCTAAACCGAGGACATACTACAGAGGAATGTGATGCATTAAAGGATGAGATAGAAAGGCTCATCCGAGGGGGGCCTCTGCAGAGATTTGTAGAAGAAAGAACTCGAACAAAAAGTCCTACCAGAAAAAAGTCTCAGCATAGAGAAACTGAATGGTCATATCAAAGGACCAAACGAAGACACAGGTGAAGTCGTAGCCACAGTCATAGCCCTTACCGCTCAGTTCGGGACTGTATCGACTAAAATAGATGATAAAAATTCCTTCCTAACATGTGACGCGCAACAAGTCTCAAAGTTTACGTTACTATCATGCTTATTTCAATTTCTTAAGGCATAGACTTTTGTTGTTTAAATTCTTTTGTTGGAATAAAACGTTAATGACACTGCCATCATGCTTTATCAAATGCATTTGACCGTTCGGCCTTACATGTATTTAGCCATTCGGCATCCCATGCATTCGATTCTGTCGTTCGCCCATCAGGCCTCATAGGCGCTCGACCATCAGGCCTCACAGGCGTTCTGCCATATGGCCTCACAAGCGCTCAGCCATCAAGCCTCACAGGCGTTCTGCCATCCGGCCTAACAAGCGCTCGGCCATCCAACCTCACAAGCCCTCGGTCCCGTTGGCTTCACGGGTACTCGACCAATCGGCCTTATAGGATCTTCCACAAAACTTAGGGAACGTTCAAAACCGAACGGCAAAAACAGTCCCCCATGGACTATAAATCAAAGACACTCCCCCATGGACTATAAATAAAAAACAGTACCCCATAGACTATAAATCAAAGACACTCCCCCATGGACTATAAACCGAGCAGTAAAGACAATCCCCCATGAACTATAAATCAAAGACAGTCCCCCATGGACTATAAACCAAGCGGTAACGATAGTCCTCCCTGAATTATATAAACCAAGCGGTGAAGACAGTCTCTCATGGACTATCATCCGAATGATAAAGGCATTTCCCCGATGAACGCTCGCTCATACGCATTCACAAGTACACGGCCATTCGGCCTCAAAAGTGCTCAGCCATGCAGCCTCACAAGTACTAGACCGTTCGACTTCACAGACATTCGACCATTTGGTCCAAAAAGTATTCAGTCAGTCGAATTCATATTGTAGGTAAACAAAAAGGCTATCAAAGTCACTAGTCAACATAGGAAAAAAGTTCTAAGAAGAACTCCCATCACAAGCCGATCGACCAATAGAACACGGACGACCTTCCCCAAGCTCATATAAGTCCTATACTTAACCTTGGTTAAAGCCAAAGGGTTAACTCGGACTTGGGGGACATGTATAGTATGATATCTAGGCCGAACAGTTAGCATCCAAGACCGATCGGTCTATCTACTATAGCAGCACTCATCGCTAACAACGCTCGTCAGCACGTCCACAAACCGCAACAGCGCTCGTCAACCAGACAACGCTCGTCGGCCAGGTCAAACCGCGACAACGCTCGTCAATTATGTAGATACCGAACGGTCATACACTCAGCACCGTTCGGTCACCACTAACAGTCAAAGATATATGATTAAAAGATATTTATAAAGCTGTTTATGAGCAACCGCTCGAATTTTAAGGAAAATCTGTTTTCAATCGTCCTGATTTTAAGGTAAGTCTGTTTGGCTTGTGACAACTTATAAATACAAGGTCAGGAACATTAACTAGGTAGGCTCAATTTACATTCCAAAACATTTCATTTACATTCTACTCATGCTCTAATGAGTTCATAATACTCAATTACCATAATATCCATTTGTGAGCAACAACTCCTTCAACAGACGCCTAACTTGAGCGTCGAACCTTTTGCAGATACCTCCCTCCTCGGCTCGGGCTTGAAGAACTTGGAGCAGAAGATTAGTCACATCAGAAATGTTAGTGTCTCGGTCTCACAAAAATAAACAAAATAAGAAACTCGTATAAAAATATCCAAATAAAACTTAATTAATTTTTTTATTATATAACATTCGGTAAGAATACCAGTTATTTATCTTAATCACAACATCAATCAAATGATCTAAACCCAATGCCATTTATTGAATTGTGTTTTAACTTCTATATTAACCTAAAAAGTGCATTTAAAAAAATATATATTATGAAGTTATATTTATAGACATAAGTTGTTTTAAAATACAAACAATATAGTTGATTCAGTCTGACTTTGTTGAAGTTTGGCTTGTATAGGCTCAATTAAATTTTATTAAATATCCAATTTATTTTATTGAATTTTAGATTGAAATTGGATGTTGAAAAAATCTACTCAAAGGACTATTACACTATTTTCCAAGCAAAATATTCAAATACATTTTGATTTTACAATTAAAAAGTTCACTTAAACAATAACTTTTCCACTGCAAAATACTTTTGCTTATTTAAAATGGACTTCTTTACTTATGAAGCAGAGTGAGAATGACAGACGTTTGATTTAGTTTTATATGCCCTCGCCATTCATGAGCGCTCAATCACCTTTATTTTATTCGTTTAATAGCAATAATCAAAGTTATCAACATTAATTATTATAAAATGATGACGTCTGACCTTATAAATGCCCATTTCCTCCCACTCCTGCAATCACCAAAAATATCGAAACAAAAAAAGAAAATGCAGACAAGTAGATCTTCCGCGCCTACGATCCTCATCGTGCTCTTCACGGTCTTCACAGTGTCTTCCGCGTTGGACCTGTCCATAATCTCATACGACAGAACCACCTACGCCGACAAGACAGCCCGGAGAAGCGACAAGGAGGTGAGAACCATATACGAGGAGTGGCTTGTGAAGAATGGCAAGCTGCATACCACCCTCGACCAGAAAGAGAAGAGGTTTCAGATTTTCAAAGACAACCTCAAGTTTATCGACGACCACAATGCTGAAAACCGGACATACAGGGTTGGACTGAACCGGTTCGCCGATCTTAGCAACGATGAATACCGGTCCAAGTACCTGACAACCAAGATTAACCCCCTGAGGATGATGGCAAAGCCAAGTAACCGTTACGCTGGGCGCGTGGATGACAACTTGCCGGAATCTGTTGATTGGAGGAAAGAAGGTGCTGTGGTGAGAGTCAAAGACCAAGCAGAGTGCGGTAAGTACTGTACTCTACTATTATATTAGTATTGCATACTTTCTTTTCTTCTTATTCTCTGTTCTCTTACACTCCTTTGACCAATAATTTATCTATTCTTCTCCCATGTTTTTCTTGAGAACATTATATTTTAAGTTTGGATAATATTTTATAGTTATGATAACTGGCTTATATTAAGTTAAAGCATTCCTTTAATTATTTGATGTTTTTAATATAATAGTAAAGTTAATTTAAAAATAAAGATGAAAATGATAAATTTAAGTGTAAGAAATTAAAATGTCAAGTATATTTATAAAGATGAAAGAAGACTGATTTAAATAGTCATTTTCTTAAACTAGTTGTTTCCTCAAATTAGATTTGAAATTAAAACAAAAGGGTATGTTTTTTAAATTAATACAAATTAAATGTAAGTACTTAATACATAAGATCGGTATAAAACGCATGTCTCCTTTCTCGTGATACGACATTTCACCTTCAAGTTATGTTCCTATTTACAGTTAAAATTACAGTGTATATATACTTTATTTGTTCCTACTCCAATGAAAAAATGAATTTAGTAATAATATTTTGTGTAGTTCTAATAAAGGCGTTTAAGACTAAATTAAACAAGACTCAAACTTATAAATCTAATTTTTATAGAATAGTCTTCAATCTCGCACCCAAGATTTCTTAGATATTAAAGTCCTCCATAACACTTTCCTTATATGATAAATTTATTTAATGTAGTCCATTTTCATTTTCTTATCCTAAAACTTTGGTAAGATTTTAAAAAAGATTTGGATTGTATTTCATGGTAGCTTTGTTTTCGATGTTATTGGAACCGTGTATAAACTTAAAAACTACTGTTTTTCTGATACAGATGGTTGCTGGGCATTCTCAGCAATTGCCGCAGTGGAAGGGATTAACAAGATAGTAACAGGCAATCTAACTGCATTATCAGAGCAAGAACTGTTGGACTGTGACAGAACAGTAAACGCAGGTTGTAGTGGCGGACTTGTGGACTATGCCTTCGAGTACATTATAAACAATGGTGGCATTGACACCGAAGATGATTACCCCTTTCAAGGCGCTGATGGTATATGCGATCAATATAAGGTTCGTTTTTAACTCTATTATTTGTTAATTTGGTTAATGTTTTCAATAGGTTGCAGCTATTGCTTATATACTTTTTTTCTCATCTTTAGCAAAATGCTAGAGCTGTTACAATTGATGGTTATGAACGTGTTCCTGCCTATGATGAGTTAGCCTTGAAAAAGGCAGTAGCAAATCAACCGGTGAGCGTTGCCATTGAAGCATATGGCAGAGAGTTTCAGTTATATGAATCTGTAAGTTTGTAATCAATTTTATCTGAAAAGTATAACCTACATTCTTCTGAGTAAACATTGCTTCTTGATTCCTGGAGTCATATTATGAATTTATTTGTCTGCATTTTACTAGGGTATATTCACAGGAACATGTGGTACTTTTATCGATCATGGTGTAGCAGCTGTTGGTTACGGCACAGAAAATGGAACTGACTATTGGATCGTGAAGAATTCATGGGGTGAGAAATGGGGAGAAGCAGGTTATGTAAGAATGGAACGCAATATAGCAGAAGACACTGCAGGGAAGTGCGGAATTGCGATTCTGTCACTCTATCCCATAAAGAGTGGCCAAAATCTCTCAAACCCTGTCAACCCACTGGGAATTTACATGTAGGAACAAGATGAACTTAAGCAAACGATGACCAACTTAGTTCTCATTTTCGATTTTTTTATCTTTCTGTGAAAAAAACAAACACCACAAAATGTTTTGGCATAGGAATACCGCACGGCGAATTAATGGTATGCCATTTCACTCTACTGTTGGATGATGCATCATTATATGTGATAGAAATCTGAATCAGCAAACATGCGTTGCTTATTATTAGTTTCATACTTGTTAGTTTCGAATTCTAGAGTAGTAAAGTTCGAATAAAGTTGGATATTTTACGATTTAAAGTATAACATGTCGGACATATTTGTAGCTGTTAAGATCATTGGATTTTTATTTTAAGTTTTAGATAGTATACATAGTGCTAAAGTTCGAATTAGATTGACGAGAGAATAAAAAAAAAGTTTAAGAATCTTAGAAGCGTAGACAATCATTAATAAAAGTTTAATTATAAAAACTCAAGGGCAGTTGGTTTTACTAATAATGATCACTGATTAACCTCCTTTATCAGAGTTTCGTTTCTTTCTTAGTATATGCCCAACAATTTTGAACCCTTTTTTCAAGTTTTAACCTCTAAAGAAATTCATTTTATAATATTAGAATAAGAGATATTGCATGATTTATTTTGTAATTTTTTTCTAGTAATTCTAATTTAGTTTCTTACTTTTCTCTTTGTTTATGCTTTTAGGAAATAGCAGAAATACTAAATAAAAGAGTTTTAGATTTCTGTCTTTAGAGGTGGAAGAGGCCCATGAAAAAATAAGTTGGATTTTTCCTCCTCTCTGTATCTAAGAATACGAGAAGAATATCAGGGTGTAAACTCAAATACCATTTATTTAGCTGAAAACGGCTATTCCAAACTAACAGACCTCGTAATTGAAGCAACTCCACAAGATATCATTCTAAACAGACACATATTAAAGAAGATATTTTCCAGGAAACATTGAGCCTCGAATGGAATGATAAGGAATTGTGTAAGAAGTAGTGAAGTTTAACGCAAGGCGCAGTATAAATGGGTCCAGATAGTAATTCCTGACATGAATATCTAAGAAAGTGTGTCTGTGAGAGTTTGTGTACACATGAATTCACACACGTAACTTTCACACACTCGAGTTGTCAAGGAAACAGTACTGTGTTGGGGACCAGGGCTCAAATACCAATTGTCGCACAGAGCAGCTTGACGTTGAGTTGCTGACTTCAATTATCACTCCCTTCTTCACTCTCCTTTTCAACACAGCCCCACGAGATGGAACACCACACTTCAAACCATACCCTACCATCTCCATCATCTCCCCACCACGCTATTCTCATCTCTATCCACACACCCTTCCTTTATTCATCTTAATACCATATTATTTCCCCTTTAATTTTCAATTATTGCGTCCTATTAACTTTCTAGCAGGGAGTTAGGCACCATCCATATCTTTTTGACATGATACAAAAAGTTCCACTGCTTAATCAAGTTCTGTTCTAGATAATGTCTGCTTTGCATTCATCATTACATAAATGCGCGCAGAAAGAAACACCAACAGTGATCGCTATGATTGATAGATTGTCGGCCACCAATAAACATACCACAATACATAGTGCCCACCACACAAAATAAATAGCTTACCGTTTTCTTAATCTATACTAACTACTCTGATTAAGTGTCATTACGGTCGAATCCATGCTACTCGTTCAAGGAAGGAACCTTTCCCTTGTGATCACCGTCATGGGTAGGATAAAATTCGCAGTCCTCGATCTTCACTCTCTCGATGGTGCTGCTCTGTGTCCCAGAATTAGGGACTTGATTATGCAGTGGGATTCCAGATGGTAACTTCGATAGCAAAGCTCCAAAACTGCAAGGCATGGTTGGTAATGGTAATGGTAATGGTAATGGTAATTGTAAAGGTGGAGAACCTGATCAAAGAGATGGGCCTGGTGCTCCTATTTGAGGGTTGTTCCAGGCCATGTCATATGGAGGCATTCCATTGCTTTCTATGAAACTGGGCTTCACAATGTATGGATGTTGAATCGGTAGGTATGATCTTTGAATACCAAACACACCCGGTATGCTTTGGAGGTAGCTGAATTGTCTTTGTATGCTGATCACCAGATTCAGGTCCTCTGCAATCTGAAGAACTTGTGGACTGATTAATAATATGGAGATATTGCAAAAATTGGGAAACACCAGGGGTGAGAAAGTGATGCACCTTGTTAAAAGAACCCAATTGCACAATGCCTTCTCTGACTGCTATTATGACTATACTCTACCAAAGTGAATTATAATTGTTAGAAGTCATTAGCTTTTTGTATTGTGTGGAGTTTGTGAACGAATTTTTACCAACCTGAATCCCTGAATTGAACTGAGACTCCCATGCCTTTGGTTGCTGTTAAGTATCATCAAGACAAATACAATGAATATTAAAAAAAGAAAGAAAAGGGTGAAGAGATGGGCGAAAGGTGGAGAAATATATTACACATTTCAATTATTTCTGTTTATAACAATGACTTCTTACAGGCTCTACCGAAGTGTTCCATGTAGCAATATAGCTAGCTTCACACTCGTTGTTGTGACTCTCGTTGTAAACCCATTTGTGACCATTATCTGCGGCAACTTTTCCCACTAGTCTGCAGATATATAGAGATCAAAATATAGATTATCTTGCCCCTCTTGCATCACTTGAAATTTGCAATGCTACTTTTGGAAAACAGAGGAAAAGATAATGAATCTTGTTATGGCAAGAAAATGTAAAGGTAATGTCAACGCTCACCCCTCTCCATAATTGTAAACCTCATGGGACATTTTGAAGAATACGTCAGCTCCAAATCTACCGTTCAAATAACCACTACCACTCTTCCTCTGTTCGCATTCGTTAAAATCGCAGAACCCATCTTCCCAGACAAGAATCCTAACCAAGGAAACCTTCTTTCTGTTGATAAAAGAAGAACTCTACAAAAACGAAACATTTGCAAAGTTGCATACAAAATTACCAGTTCCTTTTATTTCCTTTGGAGAGATCAAGCGCAGTTCCTCCAAATTCCCACCTATGGGAAACCAGACAAAGAAAACTCATCAGCAACAGAATAAGTTATTTATAATTTAAAAATAGAAGCCGTCAGTAAAATTTGAATGAGCGACTGATTTTTGTTTTGGTTATAGTGTTTGACATTGTTGTTGTACGTAGCACATGCATTAGTTATGACCTTGGTGGAGGAAAGTTTCGAGGCAGTATCCTCCAGAAGACAGCATAAACCCACTTAGAAGAATTGGAAGAATTGGAAGAAGTGCAAATGGTTCTGAGAGTCTGCTGCAAGAGACAGTTAAGCAAAGGTAATCCACTTTCCATCTTCTAAGGACAAGGAGTAAAGAGAGTGGGGAAATGAATGGGGGCAACAAGATTAAAATTTAAAAGGCAATATGCAAACAAACTGAGGATGGTACCCACTGGCCTCTTGCAAGCACCAACACTCACACACCCTTCTAAAAGACAATTCAACTTGTTCTAATTTTACAGTGGGACCTTAGCCTTCACATTTCCCTTTCCTCTTTCCATGATTGGTGAAGGCATTTATAACAAAATTTATATCCTCATACTCAATTGGTTACACTTTGATATTTCCACTGCAATAGCAGTATCATGCGTAGGAAACCCTTATTTATCATATGCTTCCTTCACTTGTCACTTTTTAACCCTTCGCATTTCTTCTCCTCCTTCATTTCTCTGTATTGATAAGATATTGTCATTGTATGTCAAACTTTCTAAATTTACTTTTGATACGTTGGAACAGGTAATTAGAGTTAAATGTAGTGATGGGGTTCCTGCTAGCGTTGTCTGTAGTGGAAATGGTCCTGTTGTTGGATGATAATTGATTTCAGCACTTGGTGTTCCACCCGTAGTAACAAAGTGGCTTTTCTTTTGGGGCATGATGGACCTTCTAAACATGGGGCCATAACCCCTTCTTCACTTAATATTACTACGACTTAAGTGTTGTACTTGGACAAAAACCACAAGTTTAAGCCTTCAATATATCAATGTCCCTTCAATCTAACTTCTTTCCGTCTCTAATTATCTTTTTAGTCAAGATAATTATTCTTATCCTGCCTAATACAAGTTTATTTTAGTATAATCAGTTAATTAGATGAATTTACACACATGTTCATCTCCCCACTTTAAAACTCTTTCTACCATATTCTATATTACACAAACTCATACTCTTCAATTTTCACTTGTTGATAAAAATAGATTAGTATATATTTTGATTCTCTAGCAACCTTGAAAAACATTTCTTTCAATTTATAACTCTAAAATAACCGATCGAGTAGTCTAAAAATGATTATGTTAAGTCTAAGCAAAATCATTATTAATTGGGTTATAATTTTAATTTTAAATCCATCTCAATAGTACAAAGCTTCTAATGAAAAAGAATTTTGACCGTACTTAAAGTTGAAAAACTATATAAAAAATAGGTTTAACCTCAAAAAAAATAATTAGATTGACTTAAAAATTTAATATAAAAGGTGATAAACGAGAGTAAAAAAAAATAATCTGGAAGCAATCGTCCTTTCAAAAAGAAAAAATCCAAATGTGTAACGAGATAGAATTTAAATTCTTATTGAGTGTTTTATATTTTTATGTTAACTTTTTTTTATCTTTTAAAATATATCTAGACACTAACTTACTTATTTTAATGTTCTAGAATATATTAAAAACTATTTTAGTACACCAACATTAATTGTATTTTAAAAATTCAGCATATGAATAACATAGAAAAAATCTAATAAAAATCCAAATTTCTTACCTAACTTTATACATTCCAATCGCTCCCGGTCCACTGCCTCAATAATTTCAGGGCACTTTTTTAAACAATCCCATATTTTCTTTTCACACCTGTAATATAAGAAATGACTTATATATTCTTCACATAAAAATTCATAATCAATTGAAACTATATTCTAAATCTAAATTACTTAATGTAATTAGAATAGACTTTAAGGTTATAAAATTTAAAATATTATTTTAAATTACATAATCTGTTATATAATTTTGTAATTATAACGTAACTCTGAATTATAAAATCTCAAATATGATTATACGATTATAGATTATACAATGTAAAATATAGTTTCATATTAAACAATAGGTGTTACTCCTACCACCACCACATTTTCTCCCTCCACCTCCCCAATTCTATTACATATTTTTTGAATTACAAAACTAACCTTTTATAATTATAAAAATAACTTTTTTACTTTTTAATCCTAATTATTTACTTTAACCCTAAAATCTATCTTTCTACCCCTTCTCACGACCTCCCAACTCTCTCATATTCTCACCCAAACTCCATCACATCCGTTTTTCATCTTTCATTTTTTTTTCATATCCGTTTTCTTCTTCCTTCAGCGGTTCGACGGTGTATACTAATAACAATAAATATCCTCAAAAATACATTATTAAAATACATCAAAATATATTCAAAAATAATATATCAAAAAATATAAATTATATTATTTAAATATCTTCAAAATTAATATAAAAAAAACTGTAAAATATAACCGTATAATTTTTAAACTGATGTTGACATCCGTTGATTGATGCTCACATCCATTTAAAGATTATACAGTTTATATTTTAGGATTTTATTACGCACCTTCACGCCTCTGAACCAGCACCTTGAAGCACCACCGCACTGAATTGTTTTCCCCACTTTCAATCTTACTAAATACAAAGTCCACCACACTCTCACGTCACAATGGTGGAACATGAGAGACAACCTAAGGATAGTGGAACGTAAGAGACAATCCGGGAAAAATAATAAAGAAAAAGAGAGAAAAATGATAAAGAGAATGAATGTCCACGTAAAATTTTAAATAATATTAACCATAAAATTTTAATAAGTGTAAAATAGAAATAAAAAAATAAACATAAGGGTAAAAGAGAAATGGAATGGTGGAGGAAGTTGTGGTGGTGGAGGCCCTCTCTATAATTTGAAACCACAATTCAAAACTATACTATATATGGATCATTCAATCTGAACACAAATATACAACTCTGAATTGCTAAACCTGAATATAGATTTAAAAACCCAATTCAAGTTACCTGATTCGTAAATCATTATTAGAATAACAATTACAAATTTCTGAAAATAATAAATTCATAATGTATTTTCATATAAACTATTCCAAAACTTATTCATGTAACCCAGAAGATCTTTATTTTATCTAAAGAACACACCTAAATATTTTGGTAAATGGATTAATAGCGTGGGAAAAGGAAAAACGAAAACAGAGAAAAAAATGTCTTATGTAAAACATTAAACCGTAGTTTTCGTTCTTAAATATCAAATCAAATAAAAAATATTTTTTAGTATCATAGCATCATTTTAATTCCTAAAAATATTATAACATTATTATTCAAATTAAAATAATTATAGCTTTTCAATTTCAATTAAATTTCCAGATATATTTTTTAAATATGTCAATTCTAGATTCTAAAGTAACAATATCTCACATTTTTTTAACTAAGAAAATGGATATTCACTCGTGTTTCAACACGTGTTGTGTAAAATAATATAAGTTGATATGTGGAAAAACTTCATTTGTTTTATAACTAAATGTGTTTTTAGTTTCTTTTATTTCTTTAACCGTTGATACAAAATCATTTAGCTAATATATAAGTAAAAAAATTCAAACATTTATGTTATTTTTTTATTTCTCAAAATTAATTTTGACTAATAATAATCATCTGATTATATATATTAATTATTCCTGCTAAATTTTAGAGATTTTATTTTGCATACATTATCTTCATTTTTTTTTTCCAATTTTTATTCGTTCATCCGATTCTTAAAATGTTAATATGTGTCACAAAAATAATCAAAAATAAATAAACCGTAACGATATTTCGTTTTTTAAAATAAATCTTTTTAATATTTTTATATTTTATATTAGAGATTTCAAATGCTAACACTTCCAATTGATTTTTGGGTTAGGTGGAAAAAAAAAATGTGAGTTTAAATTAATTCTTTCGTACTTAACTTCGGGATAGAAGCATAGACTAACAACTGTTATTTATTTTTTTATCCTTTTCAAAGTTTTCATTATAACTATTTAATGGTAACATTCCTTCCATTCGAAAAATAATATGAAATCAATATAATTATTTTCATGATATCCTGTATATATTATTTTTATAATAAACACAATTATAATATACACAAATCTCATTAAATGTAATATATATAGAAATAATAAATTAAATGAAATATAATTTATTCTTATTTTTAATTGTGTATATTGATATATTATTTTTATAAATATTAAATAATGTGTCACATCACTTTTTACTATACTTTACCCATCATTCAATATTTCACCTTTCTTGTTTGTTCACTTATATCCGTTACATTCATACTTTAATTTGGTAAATTTTATAATATATTTAGTGAATCCGGGGGGACAAAAAAAAACTTTTTTTATTATTATATGTGTTAACACAAATGAGTTAATTAATTTAATTTAATTGTAGGCCATAATTATATAAAATAAAACCTGAGTGACAAGTGGTATTATATTATATTATATTATATCATATTATATTATATTATTTTATATATATATATATATATATATATATATATATATTCGTCATACATTATTAATTAACTAAAAAATAAATTGCGTTAAAATTGAGAAAAAATAACGATAAAATAGGAAAGAATTAAAAGATAAAATTTACAAAATAATAATAGTTGAATGTTAAATGTGGGCTTAACTCTTATGTATAGTGAAAGAAATAACTGAGAGTGTAAACAAGTTGTACAGTAGGTTAATGGAGAAGTTTTTTCTTATATATAATTCATAAGTCATAATAATAATAAAAGTAAAAATCGGTTTAACTAGAAATGCAAAACCATGATTATCCTTTAGTATTGTTAGTCGTGAAAGCATGAATGAATTAAAAAAGGTGTGTCTGGGTGACCCTCTTCAAATGGATCGGGTATATAGGGCTGGTATGTGCAAGTCCCGTGGCTGCAACATAGGGAAACGGGGCCCCCAACAAAAAAAACTGTTCGGTCCCAACATGGACTTGCTGTCTCAGTCCCTGTCTGTCACCCTTTCACACTTCCAAACCTTCACTATCTCCAACTTCGCACACCCACCACCCAACATCAACGCCGACACTCCCTCATCAGAAATAGGGCAACCCTCCATGTACACTTCTCTCAGCGCTCCACATTTCGCCGCCATGCATTTCATCTCACTGTCAACCAACCGTTTCACTTCCACACACCGCCAATTGCTTCAAACCCTTGCAATTCGAAACCAACATTTCCAAACACTCTTTGCTCGGATTCACGCCAATCAGGACCAGTTGCTCAACATTAACGCAATACTCAGCGACACCCATCAAACCTCTGCTACCTATTTCCTCCATGTCCCACCCAACACGAAGTTTTCTTAAACTCCTGTTGCAACCCTTTGCAACTGCAACCAGTCCTTTGTCAGTGCACTTAGGTGTCCTTGTCAGATGGAGAACTTCTAAATTCGAACATTTTGCAATCGCTTCCAAACCAATATCGCTGATTTCGAGCATCACGAGGTGGAGTTCCACTATGCCAGTAACCTCATTCGTCAACACATGAAAAAGAGTATTCAAGTCCCCGTGGCACCGGACGAGCTTCAATACCCGCAGATTCTTGGCGCCGAGAAAAGGATAGAATAAAACGGTGTCCTTGAGAGAAATGGCTTTGAGTTTCAGCTTTGGCAGTGCAACACTCGACGCGTTTTCTGTTCCACGAAAACCGTCGAGGGAGAGGTCTTTCCAGAGGCCTTGCAAATGATCATAAATGCCTTCATTCCTTCCTCCGCCTCCCAAAATTTGGACCTTTAACTGCAACTTTCCTTCAAAGCCTGCAATTCCTGGCGAGGAGATTGAGGTCTTGGCGGTGAGAAAGCAGGAGGCCAGGACTTGGAGGCTCGTGAGATTAGGGCAGAGTTGGGAGATACGGATGAGAGTTTCGGCGCTGATGGTCTCGTCTTCGTAGCCGAAATATCTGAGACTGACTTCGGTGACGGTATTGAAGCGAAGGAAAAGAGAGGGGATGAAGTCAGAGAGATGTGATTCGGCGGTGAGGGAGAGAGAGTGACGATTGTATCCATCCACCTTCAACCACCGCCGACACACAAGCGAACAACTGTTGCGATCGACGGTGTCAAGTAACCGGAAAACGGAAGCCAAACAGTCATCGGCAATGTATTCAATACTGTTAGTAAGCGTTTGGCCTTTTTGAAGGGTATACATTCCGTTGAAACCATGATGTGCCTTCATCAGAGAAGAGAATCCGATATTTGAACCAATTTTTTGAAGATATATTAACGTGTACTGTTTTTTACAGTTTCGTATCTTTGAAACAGATAATCACAAATCACATTAATAGTTTTCAAAAAATTATCAAAAAAAATTGTTAAAAAAACATTTTTCTAATAAAATATATACATTTTCTAAAATCGGTTTTCATAATAAGTTATCATTTTTAGCCGATTTTTCTCTCATCTAAAAAATGTTATATTTTCCAACTTTCAGTTGCATATCCTTTTATATCAATACTTCCCGTTTGAGTTCGCTTTTGTTTCTCAATTATGCATCTAAAATTTGAATCCTTCTAAAAATATTAGTTCTACGTTTTTATTTCTTTTTAAAAAAAAAAATCAATAGTTAGTATATCATATATTTACTAAATAGGAATTTTTTAAAACACGTCTGTGATGTATATTAATGTCAACTATTTATTCATGCAAATCTTAGCAACTGATTTTATCATCACTGACCCATATTTCAGCATATTCAATTAGTAATTGAATATTATATATATATATATATAATCTATTAGATTGATCAAAGTTTGTTTTAATTTGGAAAATTTGAATTCTGTATGTGTAACGATTGGTGATAGCAATTCAATGAGTGATTCGAGACTCGTTATTACTTTTAGATAAGCTTTTTCTTCGTAATGTATTCTTAAAAGTAAATAATTTGTATTTATTGATACATTAAAAAATTTAAATAGTGATAGAATTTTGTGATAGGAAAGAATCCCTCACGAATATTTTGTTATATGTATTATGCACTGTAAGGGCCTAGAAAATTATAAGGCCATTGGGCCCAGTTGGGGGCAGCCAGACCCAAACTAAGGGAACATGACCTTAGCAAGGGTCTTTCTCCAAAAGTCAGATTCTTCTTTCTGTTTTTCTTTCTCACTCTAAAAAGAAACTCTTGTCCTAAAAGTTTTCTCTGCCTTCTCTCTAGATACCCAGAACCTTGAACCATAGAAAGTTGACTCTGGTGCTGCCTAAGTGTCTGTGGAGTAGGGGGTTTCGTTTCCAGGGAACAATTTCCTGTTCCGACCGGTAAGTTTCCTTTTTCCCCTTCTTTTTCACTGTTCTAGAACCTAAGGCATGTGAATTTGCTGGGTTCATGTACCTTGTACGTTTTCCTTCCATTCTCTGTCTATTTGGGCTCTAAGAGTTATGTTTTATCACCATATGGTGATTTGTAGGTTCTGTCAAGTTCCCCTCTGTGTGAGGGTAAGCGTTAGGGAAACTCATATGATAATACGCTCCATCGTCAAGGTAGGGGAGCTAGTTATAATTTTGGATGATGTATGATATGGTTGTTTGATTTCTTTGATTTTTACTGTTCTACTTGTTTGGTTGGATGGTTTAATGTATCTCCGATTGATTTCATGTGTGTTTGTGATTATACATCTTTGTTAATTGTTGAGTTCGGTTAGGCTTTCTTTTGGTCTCGTTCAGTTTTCATTGGGTTATCTGAAGAATGTTTTGTGAGCCATATGATAGGGATGTTAAGCACTTATGATAATGGGTGTTGTCTTGTTCAGTATATCATGGTTTTAATTCTCTTTGAAAATATTGGTTACGTATGCTTTTGTCTTGGGTGCTTATGGCCATGAATCTGGTTTTTGTGACATTTGCGGGATCATATAATCTTTAGAGAATCCATGGGTCTTATAGATTGGGGGAAAGTAAGATTAAAATTAGAAGTAGTCTATCAATAAAACTCTGGAAAATAGTTAGGTGGGCCATTGAGTGGATACCACCTGGACTGTTTCAGGTGATTACGGTGAGCCTAAGGGGGGGCTGGGTATGTTTATTTGATTTAAAATCATATATACTGCATCTGATGCAAATCTGAGAAGGAGAGGATGAAAAAAATGGGGTTTCTGGAAATCTGGTGTTTCTGCATAATTCTGCAAAATTCCGCAGAATTCTGCAGAACGCGCGTTCGTCCAATTGCTAGACCAATTTAGCGTTCGGCCAAAATGTCATGAGTGTTCGGTCTTGTGCCCTGCGAGCGAGAGTTAGCGTTCGTCCTTGGCATGTGTTATGATAGTTTAGCGTCCGTCCTTGAGCCAGTGTTAGTGATCAGTTAGCGTTCGTCCTAGTGATGTTAGCGTTCGGTCTTGATCATGTGTTAAGTGATAATAGCGTTCGGTTTTATACTCTCAGGTAGCAAGTTTAGCGTTCGTCCTAGTGATAGTAAGGCGTTTTGTATTGTTGTCATTAGTGACGATTAGCGTTCGTTCTCGATGAAGGTCTCCGTCCCCAGTTACATTTTCCCATCAGGTTCGTGTTTCGGTCATGATGAGGCGGATATTTGAGCGGTCGTCCAAACAGTACGGCGATCCATTATGATGTTCGGTTTTAGCGTTCGGACCAATTTTGTTCAGTTTAATATGGCTTCGGTTTTAGCGTTCGGCCAATTGTGTTCAATCTAATGGTGTGGGGTTTGAGCGTTCGTCCTAGCATGTTGATCTCACAGAGTTCGTGTAAGTAGTGTTCGGTTCCAAGTTCCTTGCTCTTGGGTTGAGTTAAACGTGTAACATGTTTGGAATGTATACTGTAATTTGATTTATGTGACAGTATGTGAATGCATGAGATATGTTTAAATTATTGTGATAATATGCTTGTGAATGAAATGTAGAATTTGATTATGATTGACATCTCGTGGGAGAATGGAGAAAGTGATATGTGGGGTGTTGTTGATGTTCTGTATAACTGTTTGGAGCTTTGAACTGGTATGTCTACCCTACCTCGAAAGCATTTTTCATACTCAGATCGAGGAGAGCAGTGTAAGTGGTGAGAGTAAGGGAGGTCCTCGTCTATAGTCTTAGAGTTTAGACATAGACAGATTGGGGGATTTACCTTGCATAGTGTTGGGGAGTGCCAACTGAACTACGCAGTGCAAAACGCGACCAATAGTTCGCCAGTTATACTAAATCCTCGATTGAGTCGTGTGGTGTTGGAGTCCTGGTTTAAAGTGTTTGTATAACTGTTTTTATGACTAAGCATGATATGTACTAAGTGATTGAATAGTAATGATATTGCTTGTTTATTTAGCTCACGCTTGCTTTGTGTTGTGTGTTTGCTTGTGTATGTTTTCTTTGCGATGATCATCCTCTTGGATGGGAGCAGATGTTGGTGAGGAGATACCCTTGGAGCAAGAGCTAGAGGAGAATGATGCTGCTGCACAGTCTACTCAGGATTTAGATATTTAGACCTTTGGATATTAAATACTCTAAATTGTTTAAGTTTAACTATGTATTATGTTTTAGATGACTGTAATTTCGGTGTTCAAATTGGCAGTCTATTTCATAACTTTCTCTTTTTGGGGATGTTAAAAACAGTTTCTCCTAAATTATAATGTTGGTTGGTTATTCATTTTGGGTGTCACTGCCAGTTTGTTTTCTTAAATAAGGCAAACTATGATTAAATCAGTCGTTTTATCGTACCCTATTTAATATGATTTTACTGTTCTCGTTTCTATAATACAATAGTTGATTGATTACTATAATTAAAATTTATTTCATAAACATTTTTTTTAAACGTATAACATCTAATTTGTAACTGTTAGGAGAAGTTCTTGTATAGTGATAGGTAAAATACATGGTTTCTGGATAGATTTGTCTGAGTTCCTATATATAATATAACTTTTACAATGTTACCATTAACAACCCTTGTCGAAGATCAAATAATTACACAGCATCAATGTTTTCTCACCCCTATACCCCTAGGCCAAAAAGGAAATAAAACTTCAAAATGCTAAAACCACCTTTTAATTTACAAACATATAGCTAATCTTCCAAACGTCTTTCATATTACGCTTTCCGAATCATATTTTTCCAACTTTATATGAAACTGTAGTTGAGGAACCTCATATAACCAACTCCCAAAAAAAATCCCCACAATTTCTCTCCTATTTAATTATATGACCTTTTTGTTATTTTCATAATGTCAATAGCAATACTATTGTGGTTTAAAACACTGGACACTAATTTATTTAATACCTTCTAAAATAACGAAAGTCGAAATCTACTTTTAGACGAAAAGCATATTCAAACCGAGTTTCGTTATACGAAGAACCAAAAAACTAAGTAACAAAAACTCATCAACAATATTCTGTAAAAAATAATTTGCATGACTACTTATTATATATTAACCCAACACAACCAATTATGGATATATATGTTGAGACACATAATTTATCAAGCACAAGACTATAATCAGTCATTATACACCAACTTCTCATTATAGTCTATCATCTATATCATTAACAATTATTATGATTTATAAATAGTGAACGGATATCCGATTTCGTTAACAAGTGAGGCTGGCAACACACTGTGTCGGTTGAGTTTATAATGAACTTGATTGAACCATTACAAGAAGATTCTTTCTGTAATTTATGTTTTCATCCTGAACCCATAATCCTAATGAAATGACTTAGTTATTCCTTATTAAAAGTTTTGCATCTTCTTTTAAATTTGCAGACTGTACAATGTAGTATGTGTTTTTCTATTTTAATTATCTTGTAAATTTGCTACATTTTAGATTAATCCATTTATATTAACGGATTGTATAATCCAAAATGCAAATTTGTAATATAGATTTTACCATCCAGATGTACTTTACAATTTTGAATTGTTTTTAATAATTTTATCATAACAATTCAAAATGTATATTTGAATCACAATTTGTAGTAATCTATAAAACGTAATTTTACGTTTTGAATTATCTTCCAAAATTACATTAACAAATTATATAATTTTGAAATGTAAATTTGCATTAGAATTGTATGATTGTATAATCCGAAATATCTACAAATTTTAGAATCTCAAACTATAACTAAAACACAAAAAAAAAGTAGACACTATAACTTTTTATTAATTCATTTAATTATTTGGATGTCTTCATTTCTAAAAAGTTTTTAATTGTCGTGATAAC